CCCCAAAACCCCAAAACCCCAAAACCCCAAAACCCCATGGCATGAACTGAGGGTTGAGTTTATTAACTTTAATACGAGCTTTATGTAATTTTGATAACTCATGAGGTTCACAATAGGGTAAACACCTCAAAAATTCAGAAGGCTCTCCATAGCTAACCTAGTCGGCCCATCCAGGGAATTTTCAAATAAAAATTATGGAGAAAGTAGGAAGTCTCCCATTGCTACGGGGTTTGAACAAGCGAAACTTGAGATGCCTTTTGAAGACTCTACAGTAAATTTTCGATATTTGGAGAAATATTAATCTTCTTTTGGAACCTGTTAGGGGCTAACATAAGCTCCTGATACCTGATATAGTAGTGATGGCTATTCACAAAGTCCTAAGGCCCTGGAGAGCTATGTTTAGTGCTTGCTTAGTGTTAAACTGTTGCAAATCCGCAAAAATCGGAAATTAATCAGATCTCTTGCTCAGCAAGCATCCAAAAATATAATTGCGAAGAAATATCTGAGGTTTATAATAAAACCGTCCAATTAATCTGCGAAATAACTTCCTAGAGATGTACAAAACGTCATAAAGCTGCTATACTTCGACCTTCAGCAGACATTACTAAACACCCCCTAATACGCCAAGATTCTGAGACTAATTTCCTTCTTGATGTTCCAAGGAGCGGTATAATATATTTTCCCACCTTAGGGTACCGAAGAATCCAGGATCTGATCTCTGGAGACCTCCTAGTTCGTCCTAAATATTGCTTTTGATTCCTCCATTTTATATGAATAAAATTTTTAATTAAAAGCAGCCGAAAGTCCATTCTGGATTTTGCCAATTTTAGGCCCTACAGTTGCCTAGGGATGTCTAATGTTGTAAATTTAGCTAAAGGCTATGTCATTATGAACGAATGAAACGTGGTCTCATTGTTAAGTTTAATGGCCAGATACCTCCCAGAATTTCAGAGTTCAGACCCTAATGAAACGGGTATACCGATTGTAAGACCACATCATGATATCAAAATTTATATCAAATTGGAGATCCTAAGCTCCTGTATTCAAAATTTACTAAAACTAAGTGGCTAATGGGTCTAAAAAGATTTCTTCTGTTGTACTGGCATACCTTGGCCTTTCACAAATAAATCTTTGTATGAGTCTGGTCGCCAAAGTCTATAACATTTTAGACACCCTCTAGAAGTGTGTAAATAGGGAGGGGGACTCAGTACTAAAAGCATGTTGAATATCAAAATTCATGAGTGCTAAAAGCAACTAAATAATCTTAGCAATAGCTTTTAGGTAATTTTAATACTCTCTTTGACATAGTTAAGCCAGTTTAGGGCAAAATAATTTCCGAAAAATTCTTAGCCTACCAAGTTTGAAAAATTATAAATTTTTGACCGATAGCCAGCATTAGAAAATATTTTGGAGTTTACTAACAAGCTTGAATCTGGAGAAGCTATCAATCGTTTCTGAACCCTTGAGAGATTGTGAGGCTCTAGCTGAGACTGGTAATCCAAAATAGTGGCATAATACTTGCCTTGAGGCCATCTGTTATAATTAGAGGATCCATAGCTTAGTGTAAAAATTAATAAAATTGATCAAGAAGCTGAGATTTTCAATGCTAATATGACATTAATAAGAATCACTTTGGCTCTCTATGACTCTTCGAATAGAGATATGTCTCTGGGGTTATGCTTATTAATAAGTAATAGCAAGGCTTAGTCATTTCGTGATTTGCCACACCATCTCAAGAATTTGCCACATGGACGCTCAAGATTTTAGTCACTAATATTCAAAGATCTACGCTCACTCTTTAGCAAAATTGTGCATTATTTAACAGAAATCTTTAGAATTCTAGATTTAGCGCGTTTATTTATAATATTTCCACACTCGAATTTTGCACTCAAGAGATGCCTAGAGGCAAGAGGAAGCCATCTGGGAATTTTCAGTACTCTAATGTCTCATTTACCTAGTATTTCTCCCATTTCACGACCTTCTGTGTGATTACGACAAGTTATTAATTAATTATTCAACTCATCATTCTTATCTCGGGGTTTTGGGGTTTTGGGGTTTTGGGGTTTTGGGGTTTTGGGG